TGTTTCTTGTTTTTTTGTTGTGGGGGGGGGGGGGGGGGGGTTTATGCTTTTTTTTTTTTCTTTTTTTTTTTCGATTTCCGTACTCAGACTGTGTGATGTTGGATCATCATCGTTCTAATCTTCTGTTTGTTGATCCAGCTTTGGCGCTTTTGAGCTCTAAATCCCAAGAGGTTTCACCCGCTGACGACAGAACAGAAGAGGTGTCGTCTGAACGTGGGAGCGTCATCAAGAGAAACACTTATTCTTTCCCGGCGAGGCTGACGAGCCCTGTAATTATCACTCAGCTAGCTTTTCGCTCTTTTTTTTTTTTCCCACAGAGCGAACTGCGAGTGTCGGAAGACAGAAGCGGGTCAGAGCTCACTCCATCACAGGCTGGCTATTATTCCTTTACCTCTGTTTGCTCAAGGTTGGGCAAACATTTCACTGCAATAAGGCTCTGAATGACTGCAGATTTTAATGCATGCTGCAGTAAATCAGCCAAGAACCTGAAGTTTAAATTATTTTTTTATACAAAATGACATTTACATATAAATACTGTTTTTTCTTGGGGGGGTGCCGGGGGGGAGGTTGTTGTTAAGGCCGGCACCAAACACTGTTGACCAACAGTTCTTATTCTTCCCGTCATATAGAGAAATATTTCCCCTTGCAGGGCTCTGCATTCAATTCAAAATACTTTATTGATCCCAAACGGAAATTAAACGTTGCCGTAACTCATATCATCCAAGCATCTTCAAAGAATTGTTGTGCTTGGTGACGCTGTGGGAAGGAAGGATCTCCAGTAGCAGTCAGTGTTTCAACAAATCTGAAGAGGCTTCTGACTGAAGAACGTTGTTATATGACCGTCATGCCGTGTTAGCAGTTCGATATCTGGGCAGCAGAGAAGATATTCTACAGTAAAATGTCCTGGAAAGACGAGGGCATGTTTATTTGACGTTTTCAGATGCCAATCAGCTGCTCCAAGCTGTAAAAACAACACCTTGTTGCCACGGTTACACATCATAACAACTGTCCGAAAGTAAAAAAAAGAAAGTGACAGTGAAACTCCTTCCAGAACCAGAGCTGTGTAAACATGCGACGCCTCAACCAGAAAATTATGAATAGAGCTAAGAAAAGAACCAATCAGAAGTGACGTAGCAGAGAAACTGCAACACGCCGTCGCAGTTCTTGAATTTTAGAAATTCAGGAACGTACTGACGTACTTACTCCGTCAAACTCTGAGCCGCTAACGCTGGATGATTCATCCTTTTGATCTCCAACCTTCATTCACTGTTTAGATACTCTCTTTTCAAAACAAGTTTTGTTTTTTTTAAATTACTACGACATGTAGTTTTCTGCAAATGATTGCTTTTATTTTGTTATTACAGAAACTCGCTGGTGATACCAGAGCCTGCTCATTAAACTCATACCTGCAGTGTGTGTGAGCGCGTGCGTGCGTGCGTATGTGTGTGTGTGTGTGCGCTCTCTGATGTACCTTAACAATGGCCAACTGCTTTGATGTCTTTCTGTCCGGTTTCAGTTCTCTCCAAAGCACTGAGCCTGCCTTTGTCAACATGTTCAGTGACATCCACTTAAACAGACTGTGGGAGAACCACAGTTCTGGTTCTGTTGGACCTCAGCGCAGCACTTAATACTGTTGACCATGACATATTACTGAAAGGACTGGACAGCTGGGTTGGTACAGCACTTGACTGGTTCGACTAGGTAATTTTTCATTGAGTTTCAATCCTGGGACCCCCTGTTGTTTAATATCTATATGCTCCCACTGGTTCAGGTTATAACATAAGTTTTGTTACCATAGCTACACAGACGATACACAGCTCTACATCACGATGTCACCAGGTGACTCTGAACCCATCCAATCACTGAATATCTGCTTAGAACAGATAAATGTGTGAATGTGCCAAAACTTTCTTCAGCTGATTAGAAACAAAACTGAAGTTATTATCTTTGGACCTGAAGAGGAGCGAATTAGGGTCAATGCACAGCTTTAGTTATTACAACTGAAACCAGCGATCAGGCCTGAAACCGGGGAGTAGTGATGACCTTTGACCTGAACTTTCAGAGCCACATTAAGACAGTCACAAAGTCGGCCTTCTATCACCTGAAGAACATCTCCAGGATTAGAGGACTGATGTCTCAGCGAGATCTAGAGAAACTCATCCAGGAATTTATCTTTAGTCGCATTGATTACTGCAACAGCATCTTTACAGGTCTGACTAAAAAGCAGAAAACCAGGAAGATAGAGAACATCACACCAGTTCTACAGTCCCTACACCGGCTTCCTGTTGCTCGGAGAATAGACTTTAAATTCTCCTGCTGGTTTGTAAATCACTGAATTGTTTAGTTACATCAACCTTCCAGACTATTGAGGTTTTCTGGTTCTGGTTCTGGCCTGCTCTTCATCCCCAGAATCAGAACCAAACATGGAGAAGCAGCTTTCAGCTTCTATGCTCCACAAATCTGGAACAAACTTCCAGAAAACTGCAAAGCTGCAGTGCATAGCCTTCAAATCGAGGCGGAAAAACCCCACTTCTTCTGAGCTGCCTTCGATTAACCATGACTGGAAACTCGTTAATTGTAGACTGTATTCCAACTTTTCATCACTTTCCTTTATTACGCCATAATGTTCTTGTCCTTTGTTTTCATCATATAAATCACTCTGAAAAGCCCTGTTGCCGAAACGCGCAGTGCAAATAAAACTCATCCATAGGTGTATCTCAGCCACTGCTGCAGCTGACACGACACACTGCGGTCCGTTTAGAAAATGTTTGTTGACTCGTGCGAATAAATGCAGTTCAAAAGTAACATGTGAAAAGAGAATATATTATCATTTATTTCCAGGATCCCATGGCAACAGTCACCTCAGTAACAAGCAAACCCAAGAGCAAATGGAGACCACTGCCTTTGGACACAGTGGTAAGATAATAAAAGCAAACAGCAAACACGTATGATGTAAGCCGCGGCATGAAAAACCGTTTTCTTGTTTGCAAAGTCTTCTGTGTTGATCTGACGTGCAGGAACTGGAGAAACTGGCGTCTAGGAAGCTCAGGATAAATGCCAAAGAGACGATGAAGATTGCTGAAAAGCTTTATACTCAAGGGTGGGTGTAGCATTAAGTTCACCTTAGTCCTCCATCTTCACCTGCCTGCCAGAGTCTTTCCAGTTCATAGACACGCAGGGACCATCTGGTGTTTTGCAGAGCGTCATTTCTCTGTGTGAATACGACACGACGCTGCATTTTGATTTAATTTTTTTTTTTTATTTTAAATTTCCTGTTCAGGTTAATCAGCTATCCTCGCACAGAAACCAACATATTTCCTGCAAACCTTCCCCTGGCGCCGCTGGTGGAGCAGCAGGCGCAGAGTCCGGAGTGGGGGACGTTTGCCCAGCGGGTTCTGGACCAGCCTGGGGGCCCCAACCCACGGCAGGGCAAAAACTCCGACCAGGCCCACCCTCCCATACACCCCACCAAGTACACCAACACGCTGCAGGTGGGTTGGTTCACGTCGTTTTTGTTTTCATTCTTTACTTTTTTCTTTTATTCGTTTTTTTGGGGAAGCAAGTGAAAGTTTTGGGTTACATAAGATTCTCACAGTAGAAGTACGATTTGAATTAGCTCTGATGCTAAACGAATTTGGAAAAAAATAACAAAACAGCCCTTTAATTCTCCTCTGACTCTGAAGCCAGATTAAGCATCATTGTTTCAGGATTTTGTGGAACATAGAGATGTTGAAACCCCACTTGGTAAGAGTCGTAGAAACCGATGGAAACACGTCGAACATGCGTGGAAATCTCCACTGTGTGTCTCGTTTCCCAGGGCAACGAAGCGCGTGTGTATGAGTTCATCGTGCGGCACTTCCTGGCCTGCGTTTCCCAGGACGCTTTGGGGCAGGAGACGGTGGTGGAAATAGAAATTGCTCAAGAGAAGTTCTCCACATCTGGACTCATGATTATTGCAAGGAATTACCTGGACGTCTACCCGTACGAGAGGTGGAGCACAAAGGTGGGTTTACTTTTTATTTTTGTGTTGAAAATACCGATAGCTTATACTCTAAGTGACTAATTAAGGAAATTGTGTTGTTTTTTTTTTCAGCTGATACCAGTTTATGAGCAGGGCTCCCAGTTCCAGCCCTCCGCTATCGAGATGGTGGATGGACAGACGAGTCCGCCTCAGCTGCTGACCGAAGCCGACCTCATATCCCTGATGGAGAAGCACGGCATCGGTAAATCTGTCTAACACGAAAAAAAAAATGTGATCAGCTTCCATGAGACCTCGCTAAACTTTGAAGAGCAGAAGCAGGAGTACTTTCTAGATCAATTACTTAATGGCAGTAGCGCTATCAATGCCTTCTCTTATGAAGAAGACAGGAAGCACAGAGGCACTGGGCCAGCGATACTTTCCACAGAAAGGAAAAAACAAAATGTCTCGCTGTGTGGCAGCAGTAGCTCCGTTAGCAACTTGGTCTCATGAACAGATAGTAAAACACAAAAGCAGTTTGTGAAGAAATACTTCCTATAGGAAACAGCCCTGATGAATTACCATAAAGCAGCGCCTGAAACTACTTCAGCCACAGGTATCTACGGGGAAAAAGAGACGGGGCTTCCACAAAGTTGTCAAAGTGTGGAATTAAATTGGAAGTAGTTTTTAAGTCTGACAAAGTACAGAAAAAAACTAAATAAATTAGAGATGAGGAAAAATGTTTATATTACCAAACTTTGTTTTCTTTTATTCAAACAGTTGCCCTGTCCGTCCGTGTTTGGTTTGAATTCACTGTAGAAATATCTACCATAAACTTATACATTGTTTGCAGTTTGCTAAAATTTAGTTTTATTTGTCCTCTTAAAATCTGTGCTGTCTTTAAATGTAGCATCAGTCGGCGTTTAATCCCAGAGTTAATCCTGACTGAGAACGATGGGAATATAAATCTGGCAAAGTGTCATTTTGACTTGGGGAAGAAACTTTTAGGGAGTTAAAAGCAGCAATAAATATTTTTTATGACTTTTATATTATGGTAATATAAAAGTGTTTTAAAATGTTTATGTTATGGTAATATAAAAGTGATAACTAAACACAAGCACTGGTACCAGTTGTACTTTTTTACTGAAAATAAAAACAATAGAGCCAGGAAACGAACCTCCTTAACACAGAGTGCTGTGCCAGGGTTACTTTCTATTAATATAAAAAAACAAGGGATATATCATGTTTGTTTCAATTGTAGTGTGTGTGTATTCCAGGTACGGATGCGACCCACGCAGAACACATCGAGACCATTAAGAGTCGCATGTACGTCGGTCTGACTGCGGACCAGAGGTTTCTCCCCGGGGAGCTCGGCATGGGACTAGTGGAGGGTAACTTCACATGCGTCTCCGCGCCGCAATCTGCCGCGGCAACCGCGGCATCATTAACATGCTGTCCCTCGTGGCGATTGTGCGTCCAGGTTACAACTCCATGGGCTACGAGATGTCGAAACCCAACCTGCGCGCCGAGCTGGAGGCTGACCTGAAGCTGGTGTCAGAGGGCAGGAAGGACAAGCGGAGCGTTCTGCAGCACCACATCCAGAAATACAAAGCTGTCTTCATAGAGTCCGTGAGGAAGGCAAAGAAGTTAGTCGCACTTTAAATTATACGACGATGGAGGGGATCGGCGCCCTGCATTCTCTGTGTTCTAGCAACATGTCGCTGTTTTTTTCTCGTGGCTTCAGGTTAGACGAGGCTCTGTCGCCGTACCTGGGCGCAGCTCTGGAGCTGCCTGAAGCGGAGCAGCTGGACATGGAGGTACCGCTGCCGGTCAGGAAGTGTCCTAACTGTGGGCGGGACATGGTGCTGAAGAAGAAGAGGGAGGGAAACAGGTGAGAGAAAGAGAGAGACTAACTCTAAATAACCCAGTAACAAACCTAAGTCCACAGTTCCTCATAAACTTACATGTTTGAATTTCAATCTTAGTCCAGAGATGTTTTTTTTTTTTTTTTAGCATTTTTTCCACATCACAGTCACAAACTTCAGTGTGTTTTTTGAGGGATTTGATGGGATTGATCAACACAAAGAAATACATATTTGTGAGACGGAAGGAAAACGATGTCTGGTTTTCTACATTTTTACAAATATAAGTCAGAATAATGTTGGAGGATTTGTGTTTGAAGCACCTTTTGGCTGCAGGTACAGCTTTTGGGTATGTCTCTAACAACTATAGAAAACAACATTTTTGCAGCTTCTTTTCTGCCAAACAGATCCAGCTCGGTCCTGCTGTAATTTATAGCACAAATTGTCCTTAAAACACAACAAAGTAACAAGGGAAAATGTGAAAAAGCACAGGCCCAATATGGCGATCCCACTGGTGGATTCAATATCTGAAAAGCATTAGATTAGACACAGCTGATAATAATGGGCCTGTTTCCTGTGTGTGTGTGTGTCTGCAGTAAGTTCCTGACCTGTGTGGGCTTCCCGGCCTGTAAGACGGCCGTCTGGTTCCCGGACACCGTGATGGAGGTCAGCAGGGACGACGCTGTTTGTCCCACATGCCAACCGAGCCCCATTCACCTGTGAGTACCGACACCGCGCCTCACTGCGACGCTTTAGCTCCAGTGAAAAAGTGGCAACACTGATTTGCACCCCTTGGTTTTACCTCGCAACAAAGCGTTTGCCCACAACGAGCCTCATTTAGTAGCTTTAAACACTGAATTTAACAGCATAAACACAGAAATAAAACATTGTCATCACTCTCATGTTTCAGAAAGGTGTTTTTTGATGATCGGATCTGTCACCTGATTAAGTGAAAGTCCAAAACATTGCGGGGGTTTTCTTCGAATGTTGTTTTTCCAACACACAAATACATCAGGAGAAGTATGATGCCATATTTGTGTCAACTTGGGGACATCCCTGTGCTTCCTGTTGGGCTGCTGTGGTTAAAAAGGTCATAACAGCATGAGGTGCTGCTAAATTAAGGGGAATCTATTCTGACACATTAAAACTATCACCCAGGGAAATCCAGATTTTTTTTATTACTCAAAACTGAAGTTATTATCTTTGGACCTAAAGAGGAGTGAACTAGAGTCAATGCGCAGCTTCAGTTATTACAACTAAAAACCAGCGATCAGGCCCGAAACCTGGGAGTAGTGATGGACTCTGACCTGAACCTCCAGA